AACTGGGGACTGGGGGGTGAGGACTGGGGACTGGGGACTGTGGACTGGGGACTGGGGCTGGGCCGGGCGCTGTCTGAACAGCTAATGTGAGCGGCCAGAGGCCTCGAATCCCAGCTCCCTCCTGACCCTGCAGTGAAGACAGGAACGGGCCTGCCCAGGGGACACAGGGCACACCCCCGGGGCAGGGCGCCTTCCAGTCCGCAGGCACGGAGCCACAGGAGGGCGCCCTGCGCTTCTGAGACACAGACACGTGTGTCCCACCGGATTCGTCTGTGCACAAAGGCCGAGTCTCAGACTCAGTTCCCCAGCCCCTCACGCAGGTCGCAGGCTCCTGTGCGGCCCTGGGGACCTGGGGCCTCTGTCCCCCACCCCGCCGGGCACTGCACTCACCAAGGAACAGTCCCAGTGGGCCCAAGACCAGGCCCCCGATGGTGACCATGGTGACGGTGACCAGGGCGCCCTCTCTAACGTGCTTGAAGGTTGTCTTCCTCTCCTCCGAATTCCAGATGTCGCTCAGCAGCTTCATGGCGTCCTCCATCCTCAGGGACATCTCGGACGACTTCGTGGCGTCCTTCACCTTACGAGACACCTCGCGCCTCTCGGATCTGCGGGAGGGAGTGTTCCACGCGTCAGTGTTCCTCCCAAAGCTCGCTCTTCCCAGTGTCCAGGGCGGACCCCCAGCTCCGGGAGGACCCAGCTCTGCCGTGGGCGAGAGGACAGCACCGTCATGTGACACATCCTCTGTCACCGAGAAAGGGGGGCTGCCAGTCGTCAATAAGCAAACAGGCCCAGCTGGTGTGGCTCAGTGGTTAAGCATCGATTCCTGGTCAGGGCAATCCCCCGGTTGCGGGCTCCATCCCAAGCGGATGGGGAGCCTGGAGGATGCGAAGGGCCTGAGAACTGTGGGTAACAGGGCCCCGCAGATCCCCAAATCCCCAGGTTAGAGATCGCTTGTAATGCCAAATACCACTAAGTGCTGAGTGAGTAGCGGTTACATTGTCCACTTAGGGAATCATGACAGGAAAACCATGTCTGCACCTGTTCAGTTCGAGTTGGTTTAGGCCTAACTACACAGTGATGCCAGCAACAATGTAACCACATAACTAACCACCCAGTGACGTCAGCAACAATGTAACAAC